GGCAGAGGCCGTTCCTCGCAGCTTTTGCTGCGTTCAAAGGCTGCAGTGTGAAACCCAGTGCCCGGTTCGCAGCTCGCTCCTTGGCACGGCTGCGCCGACTGCAATAAATCCTCCCAGGGAGGTCTGCCACCGCCACCTCCTCCCTCCTCCCTGGAGGTAAACTGGTCACTTGCTGCTGGGGATAAGCAAGGGACAAGTTTTAAGCAGTCCTTGGGAGCCGGCAGCTCCGGGCACAGCTCTTCCACTGCCCCCAGCTCTCCTGACGCACCCACCAGCTCCCCTGCTCAGCAAGGCCGTTTAATTTCTAGAGCCAGACAATCCTCGGTCCCTTCCTGGGGGCTCGCCCTGAGCGACGAGAAGGGGAGCAGAGCCCCAGCACGGCTGAGGCGAGCTGCGGCTGGGTTCGGCGGGCGAAAAGCAGCACGAGCGAATCCCTCTTTGTGGCTCCAGGCTTTGTAGAGAAGACATCAAACACCTGCTTTTACGTTTGAAGGGGCGATACAGGAACACACGCGTGACTGCACACAGAACCTTTGCCTGCGCTTCCTCAGGTACGCCCCATGCAGCACACCCTCGGTGTTTTGGGACTAGAGGGTTTACCCCAGCGTGATCGCGGGGAGCGTTATCGCACAGGATCTGTTTGGCAGAGGAAGTATTACACAGGGCGGGAGGCTCCCACACCCCCGCGTTTCACGGCTCTTTCCTGAACGGGTGACACATCCCACACCGTCTACTACAGCTTTCTGTTCAGTCAGACAGGGGCTCTTGCCCTCTTTGATGTCCAACACTTTCTAGCCAACACAACACAACTCCTACCCGAGACAAGCACCTACCAGTACCGCTGGGGTTAACAACTTTCAGCCTCACTACACACAACCGCGCTTTCTCTCTTACAAGTTAAATAACCTGCAGCTATTTCCGACGCCTGAGCAAAGAAGTAAAAATGTGAAGTGGGAGTACAGCAAAGCGCTGGGTCCACGGTGGCAGAACGGCACGTCTGCATCCCCGTGGAGGATGCTACGAGCCTCCGGCTTGCAGAGAGGCATCTGCAGAGGCTGCAGCTCCTGGCACAGACCACCGCGCCAGGGCATTACAGCGTCAGACGACTCCCTGCAAGCCTTGCCCGTGCCTACGCTATGGCAGAGGTGCTGGGATAAAAGTCTACAAGGGGATATCCTAGAGACAGGCAGGCAACATCCACGGATGCTTCCCGGTACGTCTTGAAGCAATTTAGTGTTTAGCTTTAAATGCTGTCCAGGCTGAATGTGAAAATGGCCAGGCAGAGAGCAGCAGGAGGAGAGAGGTGCATTTAGAAGGTGCTACAACACAAGTGGTTTTGCTCCCCGCTATTAAAGCGGCACTGTGAACGGCATTTGTCAATCCCTAAAGGTCTTTGCTCCACCACTGCAGAACAAAAGAGAAAAACCACGTGCCACTAGCCTGCGGCTTGCAGGATCAAGTCTTTGGTCCTTTAAAAGCAGCGCAGAGCCAAAGCATTTGTCCCCTTTACAACTGCGCCCTTTCCCTCTCCTCCAGGGAGAGGAAGGGAGCCGCGGCTCGGCTCTCAGCCATCAGCTGCAGCGTCATATTCCGGGTCATCCAAAGATTGTCAGAGTCCAGGAGACGGGCAAGTCGGGACCACGTGTTTCTACCATCAGGAAAGAGGCCTTTAAGTGCAAAGCCATCTCTATCCCGTGAAAAGCAGCAGTAGGGAATTTTACGTTGCAGGTTCCCTCCAAGGAGAAGCCACTATGAAAGGACACTACGCTACCAGGAACTGGAGCGGAGAAGCAGGAGAGACACTACATCCGCAGCAGAGCAGCCAGACTGGCTCAGAGAGCACAGATGCTGTTTGTTTTCAGCCCAATTACCTTGCTGCACATATTGTCTTTACTGCAGTTCTTGTTATCCTTGTCTGTTGCTTCCTCCTCCACCTTTACAAGGGAAAAAAATAAAAAAAGGTGTAAATAAAAACGCAGAGCCGGGGGGGACGGGTGGAGACTGAACAGCTGGTGTTGGAGCAGCTGGGAGAGCATCGGGACGGGATCCAGGGCGTTCCACGGACGTCAGGCACAGGGAGCTACAGAGGAGCTGGGATTCGGAGAATAAGCCAGGCAACCCACTCGGGCAGCTTCTACTTCATGAAACAAAATGCGAGCCACAAAGGTTTGTTCCTACGAGGGACAGAGATGTCACCTCCAGCTGAGAGACAAACCCCAGAGCCAAGTGGCTCTGCACATGGTGTCTGGGGAGCGCTGGGTGCTCTACAAAGCCGAAGTGCGTAACCACACGCTACCCAGCCTCTCAGCCTCCCTCCTACAAGGCTGAGGGCTGGGACAAAGTGGGTCCGGGCTCCGGGGGGGCTCCTGACCGCTGCTCCTGCGGTCGTCCACCAGATAAAAGGGCTGATCTGGGACTCCGCAGACTCTGGAGCACAGCCCCGCACGAGGAGGTCTCCTCGCCCCTGCCTGCCTGCAGGTCTCTGGTCGCTCGTGGGAGGTTCAGCTTCCACTCCTCAAGCTAAGGCAAGCCAAGAATCCCATTTTCTTATTTCCTGGAAAAAACTCTTTCAAGTTTATACTCCTCCATCCCGCTGTCACAGCCTCCAGCGAGCACGGCTGCCTTGGTCCAGACCCCGCGCTCTCTGCACGTCTCCAGCACGCCTCCCACGCCCAGCACGGTGCCAACCCTGGATCCCAGCCACGCCGAGGATGAGCACCAACCCCCCTGCCGCGGGCCGATGCCCAGCAGGCAGGAAACTTCCAGGTAAGGAAAGAGGGAGGCATCGTTCCCATTTAGGAGCAGGCAGCTGCAGGGCAGATTTTCTTGGATCACCGTTTCAGACTTGCCACATTTAAGCCTTGTTTTCAGTACCCAAATCCATCACCTGGCAGAAACAAGCCAGCAGCGGAAACTGGAGGGCTGATGCCAACAGCACTGATCAGATCAAGGGCAACAAGAGAGGATCCAACCTCCAGCAGTTGCTTATCTCTAATCCCGCAAGGGAGAGCAACATCTCTGGGACAGCAGAGACACGGGACGGCGATTCGGCAGCCGCACACAAGGCGAACCCGGGCCAGAGCACCCCGGGGCCGGCCAAGCAAGCTGACTGCACGCGGCTTTCCTGGCTGCTCTCTGCCTCCTCCCCGCAAGCAAAGCCGATAGGAGCAGTCCCTAGGGAATGGCAGATGTGGGGCAACCCCAAGGAGGAGCAGCAGATGGATGCAAGGTGATAAAATGTCTCCCTCAAGTGGGAGGAGAGGACAGGGGAAGCACAGCAGCGGGGATGAAGGCAGCAGGGCGGGCTGGCTCGTGTGCATCTGCCCGCCCGGGGCTCACAGCAAGGTCTAAGCACGGCTTTGACGGGAGAAGGCTGAGCAGGCACCTCAGGCTGGGATTCAGAAAAAAAAACAACCCCCAAACCTCTCTGTACTTCTCAGCAGCTTTTCACTGGAGGCCCTCACAACCCTTTCTGAATAATTCAGCAACCTGCACAATCTCTCCGGAGGACGGATGTTTTGCCATCTGCATTCGACTGCAGACGCTGGGGAGCAGCCGGTCACAGTCGCAGGGCCTGGCTACTGGTTTCCTGGTCAGCCACACCTGCACGAGGCTTTGCCAGCGCCAGGAGCTCCTTGCTCCAGCTGCAACATGAAACACCCTCCACCTACAGAGCCCAGGCCTTCGAAAGCCAGCCAGTCTACCCCCACGCTCCCCAGAGAGCCGGTATCATTCCTCTAAGCGTCCCATTACTCCCCGTACAAGCTGCTGTTGAGGACCAGGCAGAAACACTGGCCACTAAAAGCCTCCTGTAAAAGGGGAAGCCGTTTCCCTGCAGTTAGGGGTTCTTACCTCCTTCCTCCACTTGAGCTCGCAGAAAACTCGTTCGAAGCACTCGTGCATGTAGTTGAACTGCAAAGAAAAAGGAGGCGTCTCTCAGAGCAGCAGGCAGCCCCAGCCAGCCACCCTGGCTCCCAGCCCGAGCGAGCCTGGCACCGGTTGCTGCCCAGAGCTCCCCGTGCTGCGGGCTCCTCCTGGTGGCCACCGGCCCCTGTGTCTCTTCCCACCCCAAAAGCTGGAGCACAGGGTGCTCCTCCAGCTTCTAGAGGGAAAACAAGCAGGCTCTGGGCTTTTCCTCTAGCAGATCTGCAAAGAACAGGGGTACTTACATAGGGGGTGAAGATTTTAACCCATCGGGGTTTCTTCTCTCCTCGTGCGTATTCAAAACAAAACGCCATTCCCTCTTCATCTGTGTCCCACCGCTGCATTTCATCCCATTCAAATGCTATTACCTGGTTCTGAAGGAAGACAAAACCCAGGTGAGGCCAGAGCCCAGCAGACTGCGAGGAAGGGGAGCTTTAAGGCAGATCAGGTGGCAAAAGCGAAGCCACACTAAGGGGGAATGAGAATGCCTCAGACAGCCTTGCTGCAGAGACAGGTATGAGCTGAGGAAGCAGCAGTGGAAACACACGCTAACACCCACAGAGCAGCCAGATAAACCCCTGCGCTCCCAGCCACTGCCAAAATCCCTCTGGAGGCCTCTCAGCAGCGGTCCTGAGCCCCAGAGCTTTGGGGACATGGTGCTGGTGCAAAGCTGAGGTGGAGGCCAGGGGCTGAGCCCAGCTCCCCAGGACCTCACGGCAGAATCATCGACTCACTGAGGTTGGAAAAGACCTTTAAGATCATCAAGTCAATCACCTAACACTACCAAGTCCACCACTAAACCAATTAAGGGTAGTAATAATTAATTTCAACCCCCTGAGGAGGTAAGAAGCCCCTTACCTCCAGCTGGCCCTCCTCTGTGCAGGCATGGAGTTTAAAGTGCTTAATGCTGATGGCTGTGATCACATGTCCCTTCCGCCGAGAGTCACAGGAGCAGTGGGGGAAGATGATCTCGTTGTAACCCTCGCACGTCCGTAACATGTTTAAATACTGCGGAGAGAAAGCCGCAGGTGTTAGCTTGCTGGGATGAAGGGAGGGGGACCCCTGCATCCTCCCGCTTCTCACATCGCCACCGCCTCTCACGCAGCCTAGTGCTAACCACCCCCGTGGAAATCCCTGGCTTTACCCCAGCCCAGGGACACTGGATCCCCTCCAAAGGAAACTAAAAACCCACAGGGAGCAGGGCTGTGCTAGGGGAAGGAAGGAGACCCCTCCAGCTGCTCAATTCCCCTTCCCAAAACGTGGATCCATCCAGGTACAGATGTGCACAGAGCTCCTTGTGGCCTCCAACGCCAAAACCCCTTTCCAGGAGAGCCGGTGCAGCTGGAGTTGCCAATCAGTGTGACTGTGCTCCCTTGGGAAGGGTATGGATCCGAGCAAACAGCCAAGCAGCCCCGGGACCGAAAGCGCCGCTCTCGCTACAGCCACCCTCCTGATCATTACAGGCTGAAGATGAGACCAGGAAAAGAGGCTGCCGGGCAGATGTGGGATTTGGGTTTCTCAGAGTCCTTCGATGCAAATGCTGTAACTCATGAAAAGGTCCAAAGAGGTATTTTGGCTATTTCTTTCTTTCTGAGACAGCCCAGAGACACCGGAGAAGCACTGGGAGCTCAGAGTCACAGCTCGGGACGCGGGAGAAGCCAGGAGTTCCTCCAGGGGCTGGTGCTCCAGAGCCCTGCAGCCTCTCGTTGCATGAGAAAGGTTTACGCAGGGCAGAACTACAACAAAGTCTGAAGTGACTTTTTAACCAAGGAACAAGCTGCATCCAGACTGGAGGAAGGGGCCAAATTCTCAAGCATTGTGCTCCAGGCAGGACCTTTAATAACATGGGGGGAGGTAGAGGATGAAGTACTTTGACTTCATAGGCTCTCTGGGACACAGACGTTGTCTTCTTGACCTTCTGCTGGACCAGGGCCCTACTGCAGCTGGGTGTATGTCTGTGTGTAGATTCAGATCTTTCCTTGGTCATTAGAAAGCCAGCAAGACAAGCAGGAACAAGAGCCATGAGACAACCGACAGGAAGGGTCTATTTACTGATCCTTACCATTAGTTAATAATTAACCTTCTTGGCTTAGCATTTCAGGTGACCCTTCCAGGGTCCACCCCAAGGCAGTCCCCCAGCAGGGACCTCTAAGAACTACCGCAGTCGAACGGGCTTTGAGGAGAGCCCCACCAAGACCAGCCAAGCTGGAGAAGGGTATTCCCAAGGCCATTGCTCTTTGAGAGCAGCCATGCTGGCCACGAGAAGGCAGGCGGGGTGCAGCAAGTCAAGGAAAGGGCAGCCGTCGTTCATTCGGTACCAGCAGCCCGGAGCAACCCAGGAAGTTATTTACAAGTCAGATTCTTCTGCTGTTTTATCTTCAAGCCAAGCTTGCGTCTGGCAGATGAGCTCAGGGCATCCCCTCCACTCCCCCACGTCCAAGCCAGTGAGTCATACCAAGCCCCGAAGCGTTTGCTGGGCAAAGTGATAAGAGGCAGAAAATCCCTGACCAGACAGTGAGCTCTGACAGAGGATTTGCAATCTGGGAAGACTTCTGCCAGACAAAAAAAAAAGAAACTAAGGCACAGAGGGGCTAGCAACTTGCACTGTGAGCAGGCCAGGACCTACCCCTCCCTTGGCCAGCCCAGCAGCACCATCTCAGCGGCAGTCTGAGAAAGGGACCTTTGCCTCTCAATTACTAGGAAGAAACAGCCGTCCCTGAAGGGCTGCAGGTGAAGGATTGCTACACCACACGTTAAGCACCTCACCTTTCAACACTGGCAATAACCCACAAGGTTTTATCGCTGCCTTGTTTGGAGCCGAGTCAATGGGTGATCTTGCCAAGGACAAGCCGCTGTTCAAACGCGCCAGGCACGACGGGCGGTTTTGGTTCGTG